ATTTTCTGAAATACCTCACCTGCTACCTGAGCGATATTACAGTTATTGTAGAATTTCATTGGTTTGTTGTTGATTCTTTCACAGCATTTTGCATGCTGGAATATTTTGTGCTCCCTAAAAACTAATTGACATTTTTGTTTGAATGTTTTAGTTAACAAAAAGGAATGTGAAAATCATACTGGCTTTTCATATTTCTTTACAGGGACACAGACAAAATAACTACAATAATAGAAATAAATACATAGGTGAGTGTGTTACAGCTAAGCTTTGTGTTTTTATCAATGAAGATTTTCTTAAGGCTGCAAAGCCACCTGTTCCACTTCTCTTTAATATAAAAAAAGAAATGGTCAAAACCAACACTTGTTCCTGCACACATAATTTACACTGACTGCTAAAATTAAGCATGATTTGTAATAACTCAACTGGGTTAACTTATTTATCTACTCATATTTTGGGAAAACTACAAAGAAGCAAAAAGCAGTAATTTGAATTTTTCAAAGACAGAAAAGAGGTGGTTTGATGCCAGGAAAGCAGAAGCTATTGGTTAAAAGGTGCCATAATGCACGCTGGCTTGTGTGTATCTGTTTGTGTATATCCGTTGAAATATGTGGTTAATACTGAGCAACATCTCATGCTAAGTTGGCTAAAGATGCATTCTACATGATGATGTGGAAGACTGAGACTGTATGTAACAGTCAGACAGGTGAGTGGCCTGAATGACAAATACAGGTGTGTGCTGTAGGTCACTGTATTAGGGATAGCAGCAGCTATATTGTGCAATTAATTTCTAAATACTCCAAGAAGTTTTTTTTTTTTTACTAATAATCAAAAAGACAAATCTTTTTCAGGCTTCACAATAAAAACAACTTTGCTTTATGTATTATTTTACTCTACACTTTAAAAAAATGTAAGTACACTATAGGTACAGCTCAATTTAGACTAAAATCACTTCTATTGATGGGATTTTTATCTCTTTCTCTTCTGTTTCCTCTTCCTCCACTCCTTCCGGTTGTTTGGTAAAATTCCTGTAGGTGTTCAGTGTCTCAACATTCATATAGATCAGGGGTGCCCAATCCCGGTCCTCGAGAGCTACCGTCCTGCAGCTTTTAGATGCATCCTTGTTCCCACACACCTGAATCAAATGAATGGCTTGTTATCAGGCCTTTGCCAAACATGATGGCATGCTGAAGAGATCAAACCATTTGATTCAGCTGTGTTGGAGTAGGGATGCATCTAAAAGCTGCAGGATAGTAGCTCTCGAGGACTGGGATTGGGCAGGCCTGATATAGATCCTCTCCTCGTCACTGACGTCATCTTCTTCATTGCAGGTTTTTAGAATGACTGAAACAGAGCAAAGCAGATTCCTCTAGACATCATGATCTAAACAAAGCTGCTGTTTCATCCAATATATTGTTTGTTCTGGTGAGCACTGACCTCTGCTGTGGATGTGGGCCTGCTGTGTTTGCCTCCTTCTCCTGAGCACCAGTAAGACCACCAACAAGACCAGCAGGAGCAACAGGACCACAGGAACTACAGACGAGACCAGCAGCTGTCATGGTCCTGGGTCAAGCGACCCAGTGTTGAGTTTATGTATCTTTTATATTTATTGTGTGCCTTAGCTTAGTGCACCTAGTTAATTTCTAGATTACTGTGTAGTCCTGTTTCTTAGTTATGTCATCTCCCCTGTACTAAGTTTCCCTGGTTCATGTGTCTTGTCTCTGTGGTTATGTTTGGCTCCTTGTCTAGTCTGTCATACGTGTTAGGCCTGTTAAGTTGTGTTGTCGTGTCTAAGTCTGCATGTTTCCTGTTTTATTTTGAAAAGGGGCTTATGTTCTGTGTTCATGTGGTTAGTTTTACTCTTGCCTGTGCATCATTATGTTTATCCTAGTCAGCTGTTTCCTCATGTGTCTCCACTTCCCCTGATCACCTCATGTGTGTATTTAAGTCCTCTGTTTTCTGAATGTCATTATCGCGTCGTCTGTGTTCCACCCTCCATGTTGTCACAGCCAGTCTTAGTATTCATAGTTATGGTTTCCTGTGTCTTCATAGTTTTTTCCTAGTTTTACTTTCCCAGTTTAGTCATAGTTTAGTTTGTCACTGCGTTTCTGCCTTGTCTGCACTCCTTGTCACCAGCCACAATAAAGGCTCGCTTTCAGTTAAGTTTACTCGAGTCTACTCTCGTGTGTTCGCACCTGGGTCCACCACACACACCACCGCACGGTCTGCCTCCGCAGACCGCGACAGTAGCATCCGAGGAACTAAGAGAGAAAAGGTTTTAGTCAAATATGAACAGTGATGGGAATAACAGCGTTACAAGTAACGGCGTTACTAACAACAAACAGATGGTTGAAGCTGTGTTCAGCTTAAAGGAGCCCAGGAAAGGGGACCACAGTTTATAAAATGTGTTTTTTGACCCACAAACTGTATATTAAATTTTTTTCTAAATCCATACAGGACATTATATCTTTTACCCATTGCGCATGCAAGAGTCTTCCCACTAAAGCAAAATAGCTCGCCTGGCCAGCAGTAATGAAAAGTTTAAGTTTGAGTCTAGAGTTGGGCAGATTCAGGTTCTAGACCACATCAAAGATAGCACAGAGTGGCTCTGGTTTAATTTGGTCCTTGATTCTCGTCCCTGGTTTTCCCGAGTGTGAGTGAAGTGAAGAGGAGCGTTTTGTGTGGCAGGAGCAGAGCGTGTGTGGCGTGGCCGAAGAGCAGCTTGGGAGTGAACTGGAGAGAATGTGTGGAATTTCCCCTCACCTACCCCGTGGAACCCCAGAACCCCTGAACTCTCCTCACATTCTGTATATAGTCAATCAGTTTTGTTTTTGTTTTGCTTTTTTAAATGGAAATAAACTCTCCTTGCTCTTTTCCTTAAGTCTGCACCTGAGTTTCCGTCAACCCTGACAGAACGTTCCAGCCAAACCATGGACCCCGTAGATTGGTGGTTCATCCCCCTCGTCCCCAGACTCTGTTCCCTCCACATAAGTGGGATTAAGGAGGTCCTCGAAGTATTCCTTCCACCGCCCGACTTCAATGCTGATGTGGGCAACGACAGTACCTGGAAGGGCGTGATTGGGAGGAACGGCCTCCCTGAGCTGAACCCGAGTAGTTTTTCATTATTGGACTTTGCCATTGCCGAAGCTGCTTCACTGAGCTGCGGCCTCAAGGTGGTTGGTGCCTGTCGTGGTGTCCATACAGACAATATTGATTTGTAAATGATTAAATAACAATCTTGTCAACACAAAGTTCTTTATTTGGAGCCCAGTTCTACAAGAAAGACGTTACTGAATAAGTGCTTGTGCTTAAAGTGCTTTGGCAGTATTTGAGACAATATTAAACTTAATCATCATCGACCTGTTTGCTGCTGCCTGCCGCTGAAAGGCATTGAGGAGAGGGAACATTTGGGCAGTGCATTTATCGCGGCATATTATGTGTTTTCTGGATATACTGTGCTTTTTCACCATTCAGAGGTTGATGGCTCCAAGTCAGAGCACTGGCTATGAATTTCAGACGGATCAGGCCTTAACTTACGTTATCAATCGTTCTTTTCATCTTTTCTGATTACCCACAGCTACATCCACTTCTGTCCGGCCTAGGCTCCTCACTAGGGCTGGGTATCGTCACGGATTTCTATAATCCATTCGATTATGAGTCGCAAGGTCCCGATTCGATTCAATTTTGCCTCAGACAGTCCGAAATATTATAATTCTGATCATTTATCAGTACTGACACTTGTGAGACTTCATCAGAGGTGTGAGCATCACAGCAGATGTCTTTGTGTCAAAGTAACTGAGGATAAAACACAGAAAAACATGAAGGAGATTTTCCAGGCCTGGCTTTTTATAGCAGATAACTGCCTTAAAAATATTCTGCAATAGAACAAAAACTGAAGAAAACCATGAATCAACATATGAACATTACCTGATGCTGCTGAAGTGAAGCAGAGCAAAGTTACAGAGGTTTTATTAAAGACACAGCTAAGCATTTTGCAATTTGGCATACTTTTAAAAATGAGTTTCTTTGCTATTAAACAGCAGAAATTAGGCTTTCTTGTTGGAGGTCATTTTTGGGGAAAACAAAACCAGTGGCTGACAGCACTCTACATGACTTGTGCGTAATAAGCGAACAAATAATGCAGAAAATAGATTTAGGATGGGAAACTGTTCTTGCAGTACACTGAGAGAGAAAGCTGTGCAGGAAGTGTGATTTTTATCATGGTGAAAGCAAAATAGCAAAAGTAAGAGGGAATTAATGACGATGTTTATCAAATGTGAAGCTTAGTTTTGATCTTCTTTTGCTGCTGGTTCAGTCAATTTTGGTTGGAGAGAGACAAAACCTGCAGCAACAGAATCTAGTGCAAAAAAATCCCAAAGATGTAAACACAAAGCGCGGACCCGACGCATCAGAATCAGTGAGCTGTCGGCTTTCAGCACTGACGGCGTGCCATCGGGTGAGAAAGCCACATCTCACTGATTCTGATGCGTCGGGTCCGCGTTGCCTTTGTGAGGAATCCGTGTACCTGCTCTCATTTACTGTTTTAGCTCTTTGGTGGTTGTCAAAATAGTTTTGTGAGCTTTAGCCTGAGATTCTGGCGTTTCTCAGTAAACCATTCGTTTTCACTCTGTCCTTTACGACAACAAAAGCAAAAACGTACTTCGTGAACAATACCAGTTTAAATGGTATTTCACTCTCTAGAGGTTCATTTCTCCAGCTTACCAATTCAAAACGTTTAAGCCCGCCTGCTCTGCTCGGCTGTAGAAAGCAAGAGACTGAAAACATGGGCGCTGGCGCTAAGAAGGGACAAGAGCTGGCTAGAGCTTCAGCAATTGGCTGACACGAGATGAGTGGAATAAAACAATAGGCTCCCCTCCATCAACATTTGGAAAAACTTAGCACTTGTTTAACCAAAGCATATATATAAATCTGCGTCCCTTTTATGTTTAAATAAATATAGTGATTTTGTTTCACTGTTATTAAAGAAAGACAGTAAGAGCAGAAACAATTAACATGACATGTTTTACTTTTCTTTTTCTTTTTTTAAAGATGTTTTTAGCAACTGGACCACATCTGGCTTGTTGGTGGTCCCTAACTGGCCAGTGTGATGTCAACGAGAAATAAAGATTCAAACATAAATTATACGTCATGCAATTCATCTCATTTCAGCCACTAAACACTCTTTGATAAATTTCTGAACAGGAGATGGGACATTTGAAGAGTATGATATAAACATCGGAACAGATAACATTAAAGATGATAAAGTTTTGAAAATAGGAAAATACAGAACACAGAAAAAACGGATAGTATAGAGCTGTATATTAATATGAATACAGCGCTGTTGTGCAGTGATTTTGAAAGGTTCTCCAACTAAACACTAAAGACTTCTGGTACTGAGCTGCTCTAAAGGACACAGAGCTCACACAGGGCAGCAGAACCGACCAGCAAACAGGATGTTCATGGTGGGGTTATGTCTGATGAAGAAGAGGAAGGGGTGGTCTGCGATGAAGGATTTTAAATCACAATTGCCCCATCTTATTTTGCCCATCATATTCTCACACCAATAAATATCCACAAAAGTAGCCTCAGTTGCCTTCTCGTGGACCTTCACAAAAGCCTTGTGGATGACTTTTGAAAGTACCAGATCTTTGCGCCCAGACATGCCTGTGACAGAGAAGTGAAAGGAGAACATTTTAAATGAACATAATGCTGCATTTTCATTTTTTTTCTTTTTTCTTTTTATCTGAGAGGGTTTTTTCAAATTAAATTCTGATAAGGCTAGGTGGTGATATAGATCACCTGGTTGAGCTGACAACTAAAATACCAAAAGATCTGCAGGAGCCTGGGTTTGAGTGTTTCCAGACCATTTCCTGCATGCCTCATCCTCTCCCTTTTATCCTCTCTACTATTCTGTCAAAGTGTGATATCTCAAAAATAAACCTTAATAAGGTCACTTCAACAGCCTGTCTGTTAATAGGAAAATTGTACTTAGTAGTCAGTATAATCTTTTAATGAAATAAGTTTGCATATGGTAGAATGCTGCATGTAACCATTTGTGTGTAGAAGTATATAGTTGGTGGCATATTGAAAGAATGTCTCATCCTAGGAGGTCTGTAACATTCTAGGGTGTTCACCCCCACATCCTAGGAGCATGAGAGAGGTCGTACCTTGTCTTATTGTTTTACGGTAGGATTAACGTAGCTATGTCAGTTTTAGTTTAAGTGCTTTTTTACATATAGATGAACTGTTGGATTTTCCAGACCAGCAGGTTAAGGGAAGTCGTTTATGGGGCCACACTCTGACCACCCCCCCCCCCCCCCCCCCCCCCCCCCCCCCCCACAACACACACCTCCACATTCCAATGTAAACAGAACAAACGCTCACTGAAGTATAAATAAAGACCGGGGCAGTTTCTCAGCGCGAGTCTCAGTTCTGGAGAGCTGCCCTTGTAGCAAGAAGTTCTGTGTGTTTCTCTTCTCTGAGTCTTTATGAAGAAGTGTTTTAGATATATTTCTTAACATTGTCATATAGTATTAGCAGAGGTGATACTCGAGTCACATGACTTGGACTCGAGTCATTAATTTTATGACTTTAGACTTGACTTGAAAAAATGTTCTAAGACTTGTGACTTGACTTGGACTTTTACACCAATGACCTCGGACTTGAATTGGACTTGAACCGGTTTACTTGAAAAGACTTGATATTTCACCCCAAATCTAAAATTTAACATGCATATTATATAGAAAGTGTGCACCATTAATTCAATTCATTCATTCATTTATTCAAACCACACTCCGTACGTATGTGTGCGTGAGCTGTAGCACAGCCAATCAAGTTAACCAGATTTTTTTTTAAGAAAAAAAAAATGCTCAAAAATGCTGCAAGGAGTTATTTTTTTCAGGTACATAAACTATGAAGTAGTCAACAAAAAAACCCCGAAATGCAATATACAAAACATGCAAGTAGAGAATCACAGACAGAGATGGAACAACTTCCAACTTTGTCTGACAGTTGAAGTTGCATAAAGAACGGTAGGTGGTGGTGCTTCTCTTTTGCTACGATGGGATAGCTGACTTCATCTAACGAGCAAATCTTGTCCAGGCTACGTTGATGATACTGTTTGGTTTTAATGTGTATGATATTTTTGTCATGCTATTTTAAAGCCGGCCCTACAAGCACATCCAAGAATAACATGCAGCTTATCTCAGAACTGTCGGTGAAAATTATTCTTGGAGCTAAGTTTAATTGAGCTGCATTTTATAGAGGTGCAATTTCACAATTTGTGTATATTTTCCAAGTTCACTATTTCATCATGTGTTGAGAAAAATCAAGATTTAAAAATCACATGGTCTAATATTTACATTTAGCATAACTGCAACATTATTTTTTTCGTTTTTTTTTTTAAAGAATCGAAAGGACTTGAAATTCAAAGTCAGAGTAAAGTCACTCGGACTTTTACACCAGTGACTTGAGACTTGACTTGTGACTTAAGGGTAACGACTTGAGACTTACTTGAGACTTGCAAAACAATGACTTGGTCCCACCTCTGGTGATTAGTGTCAGAGAGTACGCCTAGTTTAGGCAGGAGGAAGCCAGAACACCTCCCTGACTGTCTGTCAGTATTATAATATTTCACTAGCTGGGCCCATCCTCATTTTATTTTTGACAGCGTTTTTAGTAAATAAAGGCAAATGACTTAAAAATATTAATAGCAGTTTGGAGAAGACCTCAGAGGGGACTGGCGGCAGCTCCTGGGCCAGGCAGATCCCCATGTGCTAATGAGACGTGAAAGAATTGAAAAGGGGCAGGGAATGAACAGCTTGTAGAGCTGAGGCTGTCATATATAGATAAGAACCGTAAAGGCCAAGTTTAGAGGTGTGGTCCCACTCCTGAAATTCAGATAATGTATCTACAATAAAAGTATCAGGACTGTCATGTAAAAGTCCACCAGTCCATTCAAAACCCAGCAACAAAGTTTAGATCCTGCTTTCAAAATCTCACAGTAGTATGATCATCAAACAAGATAAACAATCTGCTGAAATAAGCAGCTCCATGGTCTTTTGGAGAACTCGTTCACTGCTGGAGCATTGTTGCTCTACACTCTGTTCATAAACACCAACAAACTGCAAATGTATGTCTCACCAGAGAAGTCACACTTCGTGTGATCAAAGGCGTCCACCATGCCCATGCTGCTCAGGACTGTGTTCAGGTCATACGTCTCCTCCAGTGTAAATCGTGGCAGCCTCACATCAATATAACATGTTTGCATCTGGCCTGGATGAGTCCAAGCAAGAAATTTCTCATAGGTCAGCTTCTTCTCCAGCTGGGATGGAAACAATATCACTTATTAGAGATTGTGTGTGTGTGTGGTTTATGTGTATTGGTGGATGTGTACAACTAGTCAAGTAATCATTGCTATTGTCACTAGTTAGTATCAGATGTACTAGTAATTTAATCAGTTTTACTGTTTACATTTTATTGATAAAATAAATTTATCAATAAATTGTACATTTTTGTGTCCTAAATGTTATGCAGCCATCTGCCACCAAATGTGGTGGCAGTGTTGTTGAGAAACGCCATAAATTCGTTAATCTTGGCCTGATTTTTCTGTTAACATTATTTTATTTAATTACCTATTATTGCTACGCAACCCTTGTGGTGTCCTCGGATCAAAAATGGTCGCTAGGTGAATGGCAAACAAGCATATGGGAATCCTGAGGACACCACAAGATGAAAAAATAGGACCTGCAACCGACAGAAAATAGCTTTCTCTAAAAGGAGTTCAGTTTTTCAAAAAAGGCTCAGAGTAGAGTTGCCACTGCTTAAAAGGAGACAGCTGAGGGGGCACCTCCAGGGTAAGGTGTTCCCACCAGGCATACACTGTGACCTGCTGGAGAGAATAAATCTATTGGCCGGACTGGGAACACCTTAACATTTGCCCAGATAAGCTGGAGGACTTCTCTGCTTCGGCTGCTGTTCCTGCTACCCAACATCAGATAAGCACAAGAAAATTGATGGATGACTTATTGTTTTGTTATTTTAAATGTAAACTTTTATTCAAGTCATTGTCATGAATTCTCGAACGGCATCCATCATTCATGATGCATGGCACAATGTGCCACACTTTTCAGCTGCAGTTTATTCATTTTTCAGTTGTTACTTTTTCATATTTCAGTAATGAATGAGCATCTTTAGTAGAAACATGTTTTCATATCATAGTTAATATATTTCAAATGTTTTTCTTCTTTGTCGTCTGTTTGGAGTTTAACGTGTAGTGTAAATGTGCGATGCGAGGTTCTGCACAGTTAAGCAACATGATTCATTCAAGAATGTCATTAAAAGTTTCAAATGACTTTGTTTACACAGTTCTGGACGTCGAGCAGTTTTCAAATTTGACTTAATATCTGAGTGTTTGTCAGTTTTCAGTCAGTCTGATTTGTTTTCTTCGTTTAGTTGACTTAGAAATGAGTCACCAGGAACATCACGAGTGTGTAAGTGTTCTACCTTCTCCAGTCCTGTTGTATCATCCTCTATCTCTGCAGGTAAAAAGATGAGCATGCTCACTTCCTTCCCATAGTAAGGCATCTCTAGAATCTGTCCAGCAGAGGGTTTCAAGCATTACTGCACATAAATCTACTGATACATTTACATTACAATCACTCTCTCAGTGAAATCTGATTATGCCAGTGATTTATATAAATATAATAAATATAATGGTTACCTTGCAGTTTGCTTCTTCGATGAAGGTACACGCAAAGTCTTCTTCCTGTTTCATCATCTTCACAGACTTTGAGTCATTCTGAAGACAAAAGAAATTAAAAGCATTTTTAATATATTCATTGAAATATGTCTTGGATGCAAAAATGAATTAAATCACTCTGAAAAACTTTGCCTTTGAAGCTGTGTGTCATGAATACTCATTTCCAGTCACAGATGTATTCTCATGACTTTTAATTAAAGTAGTTTGTAAAGAAGCTTTGCATGTCGTACACTCCCAAATAAATCTTATTTATCTCACACTTGGCTTTAATGCAGTCTCACATTAATCATTTTGGCTCCTCGTCTTTAAAGCTCCCTCCTCTTGAGGCCATTTTGATTGGCTGTCCCTGTTTAACAAAAGGGGAGGGGCTGATCTTTCTGACATCATGCAGAGCAGAGAAACTGAAACCGGTCCTTAACATCAGTCTTAAATCTGAGCTTTGGCTTACAGATATTACTTGTATATTTGCTCATGATTTGAAACTGTCCATGTTGACCAACCACAACTGCAATGGTATATAGACTTTACAAGGTTATAGTTTCATAGTCAGTGTTCTGTTTTGATGAGCACTTTTACCTTGTTGAGCCAAAATTGAGCATCATAAGTTTCAGACCACGAGAAATTATTTATCCAGATGCCTTTGAAGTGGGTGGCAGTGAACAACACCAGCCTGGTCAGTTCATTCAAATCATCTTCATCCACCACCTCTGTGATGTTACCTGGTGACCAAAGTAAAACAAAGTGTAAACATTGAGAAGTAAAGCTTCAAAGACTGCAGCAAAGTTTTCATCCACAGATCTATGAGAACACGATGGACCCCACAATCTTTCAGCCTTTGTAGGCCAGAGAAACATGATGAGTTTTACAAATACTGTTTAATATATTCTTTGACTATTTGTCATGGTCCGCGGCCCGGCGTCCGGGGTGCTGATGGGATGCCCACGCCCACGGGCGTGGCTGCTAACCCCACACCTGCATCCCATCCCAGGCGATCACCAGGTGGACTATTTAATCCTGCCCTACCTGCTGCTCCACGCCAGTCCGTAGTCGTCGCTATGCGGTAACGTACACCTGCGGGAAAGCCCTTATGACAAATTATCCATCTGAACTAACACTGTTTTGCCCTGTGTACTCAGATCACAACTCGGCGTTTTTGTGAGCCACCTGCCTGTCCACCTGAGATTTGGATCACGATCAGCCCCGCCGCCTCGACCCCCCCCCCCCTCTGGTTCACTCAGCCCGGCTATCACCGTAAGACGCATACTCCACCCTCCCTCGTATGCTGCCATTGTTCCGCACCCCAGTAATCTGTTTTTCCTTTTGTTTTTCAGCCTCCCACAGCCCCGCTCTCGGCGTTCCCTGTGTGACTCACCTCCCCGGCCCTTTGGTTTTTTCTGGTTCCACGTTGTTTTTTCCGGCTACCCTCACGGGACACCTTTAGTTATAATAAAATTAGGTTTTATTCTCTCCTACCCTGGTGTGTGTGTTCTGCTTCTGGGTCCAGCTTGCGCACAGAACTTCGGTTCATGACACTATTAGTGAAACCTGAAGATACTATTCATCAGCACAACATGTGAATATTTAGAACAAGTAAGGATGCACAGCCACTCTGGCTAATGACTACAGCACACATGTTACAACTCATTATTGAAGTACTTATAAATCCTGCTTTTTCTACACGAGATAAGATGAATGAGGTAAACAAGGGACATCAGATAAGCAGGTAAAGCTACATTAATGTGCTGTTCCACAAGATGGCGCTCCTCCCTATATTTCTTCACAATTCTCAACGCTCGGCATATACTTCAGTTGAGCTTCAGTCAAGGTCAACACATCTGGATGTAAACAAAGTATTCTGGTGCCTGGCAGGCACCTTGGAAGTGAAAGAGACTACCATTAATGCTGTGCCAGCACAAACAGGCAGGGAGCCAGAAACGTTTTTCATAGAAGGAAAGAGTTAATATTAAAATCTGATGGTATTTTAAGCTGTGCTGTAGTCTAACTTTCACAAAACTCATTAAACTCAACTACCTGAACTCATATTGCACTGAGAGACTGGGACAGGAAGAGTTTGACAGATAAAATATAAAAAGATACATAAACAAGAAGATTAAAAAATATGAGAAGCAGCAGTGAGTGAGTTTGGCTGAAAAGAAACCAGTGAACAGAGGACTGTGCAGACACTGAGGAAGGTGGTTCTGGGATCCAGAGATCACTGCTGAATCAGCTTGAATCACTGTGGGTTAAATCAGGATTAACGGTGGAAGGAGCCCTTTGACAAACCCTGGTCACAGGTCTGTAAAGCTTCTTCACTCTTTAAAACTATGTTAAGTACAGCTACCATCACTTCTGAACACCAGAAGGAGAAAAATGGATTCAGTATTTTCATGGTATCCTTACAGGTGCACACTCCTCACCTTAGAGGGACTTAGCAGGAGCAGTGAGTCCTGCTTATGAAAAACATGTGAACTTGAACTGGACATTATATGAAGTGATTGTGTGTACATGTGTAAATGTGATCCACCTGGTGTGTGTTGCTGCACCCAGTTGTTGACATCAATCCTGACTTCTTCAGACCTGGTCTTGAAGTCCACAGACTCCAGCTCTGCTCTGTAATGTTTCTTACTTTGTATTAAGAATTCCTGAAACCACAGACGACACATTTGTAAATTCACTCCAGCAAAGTCTCTGACATCACTGATTCTGATTTACTTCAGGCTGACATGATAAGAAAAGACTGTTATAGCTACATGATCACACATGCTGAATCACACATGCCTCATTTCAATCATTAACACAGTTTTAGATTCTGATCAGTCAGAACTCACAGCATTTCTCTCTCTGCCTCTCATTTACTCCAAAACACAAGAAACAGACCTGAGTAAAGGGGCAGGACTTCTCTCTGTACAGTCTGTTAGCAACACTGAAGGTAAATGGAGCATCTGTCCTGTTGAGTTCAGTGAGAAGTTGGGCGAAGCTGCTGTGAACATCACCCCAACAATCCTCGGTTTGCAAGCACTGTGGACAAAACACTTTAGTGGATTCAAAGAAGGACACAGAAGAAAATTCTGGACTGGATCTAAAACAAAGAAACTAACTTTTGATTTTCTTTCTTTGTTGTTAGATAATTTGTTATTATTTGTTTCCTCTGAGTGCCCAGCTTCTTCAACATCCCCAGGGAACCTTTCTGTTATCTGGATTCACTTAGCCTAACATCAGCAATAAGTGCTCACATGAGCCCTGCGTTTCCATCTTCACTATCCAATAAAAGCCACAAATAACAAAAAACGGAGCTTACTGTGTCACAACCTGAAGGAGACACAGAAATAACTTTAGTTTCTCAACAAAGAAAATGAAATTAATTTTATTGATTGACAAGGTTTTCTTAGTATGTGTTTCACTCTCCTAACCTCTGTGTAGTAACAGTATGTAACTGTAACTTCCTTTTAAAACTTTGTGAGTGTGTGAAAACGGGAAAAACAACTAATTGTAAGCTGCATTCAAGCTCATGATGCACTTTGTGTCTTCATTCATATCAGGCTGTGGTAACTCAGCTCCTTAAAGATGAACAAAGACTGTATCCACACAGTGGAGCTGTTATTATTTTGTGTATTTCTCAAAGCTAGTAGGAAGACTGTTTGTGCAGCATTGATCCCGTTGGAAAGATTTGAACTTTCTGTTAATAAATCTCAGAAAACTGGTTTGGTTTCAGTCTCAGTTTATTTTTCCACATTACTCTGGAGTTACTTTGTCAGTCTCTTTTACTGTATCTGTTAATTCAGAGTCCCATCCTCAAGGTTCTACTAGGCGCAGGCGCTTTATTGACGATTCTATAATTTCTGAGTTTTCCTTTCTTTTTAATTTTAAAAGTTCCTCTAACGAGGTTGAGCTTCTAACTAATTCTTTTAATGAACACTGTCTTGCCATTCTAAATCAGGTTGCTCCTCTCAAAACCAGTTACTGCTCTGTTAGTTCCCGGACACCATGGTTAAATTATCAGACTCGTGGTCTTCGATGCTCCTATCGAAAAGCAGAGCGTCTGTGGAAGTCCACCGGTCTGACTGTCCATCGTGAGCACTTTAAAGAACTACTTTACCTATATAATGAATCAGTCAAAGAGGCCAGATCCTCTTACTTCAATAATCTTATAAACCGTCATAAAAATAATTCAAGAATTCTATTTGATACCATCAACAGTATTGTTTCTCCTCCAACCCAGCATGCTCTGTTGCTTTCTGATGAAGATTGTAATACGTTCCTTAATTACTTTGTAAATAAGGTGATAAAATTTAAAGATTACTGTAATTCCCTGTTTACTAGCTTGGATAAATCATCTCTCTCTCGCCTCCAGACAATACAAAACGCAGCAGCCAGATTACTAACTCGCTCTACCAAGCGTGTTCACATCACTCCCATCTTATATTCTTTACATTGGCTCCCAATAGAGTTTAGAATTCGCTTTAAAATTCTTAACATACAGAGCACTAAACGGCCAGGCTCCAGATTACTTATCCAAGCTTCTTTTAAAATACACTGCTGCTCGTCATCTCCGCTCACAGACTCAGAGTCTCTTAGTTGTTCCCCGTACACGACTGAAGACAAAAGGGGACAGAGCCTTTCAGTCTGTTGCACCAAGGCTGTGGAACAGTTTACCACTACAATTACGTTTGCTTGACTCTGTGGATTCTTTTAAAAAACAGTTAATATATTTCTTTTACATTATTTACATTTGATCTTTTACATTGTTTATATTGATTTTATTGTTTATTTTAATATTTTAATATTTGTGTACAGCGCTTTGTGATTGCCTGTCTGTGAAAAGCGGTTAATAAATAAAGTTTACTTACTTACTTTCTCATTTAGGTTGTCATGTTGACTTGAGTTTAGCTTATTTGACCTCTTTTAAGGGTCCAACATTATCACTTTTGTATGAGTTACTGTGCCCTCATGTCTAACCAGCTCAGTCGCTCACATTAGGTTTCAGACTATAATAATATCCCACTGATACGATACACTGGAGACAAGTCAGGGTCATTTATACAGTTATAATGGTCACAGTGGTTTCCAGCAGCTGCCCAGATTAACATCAGAGCATCCTGCATGTGTTAAATGAGTACCACTACAACTATTCTGACAACTATTCTGCATATAATTTTATATATACTATTCTGCAATATAATTTTAGTGTTAGTGTGTGAGCATGTGTACTGTACCTCTGACATCTGTGTGGCTGTGTTGCCTCTGGCCCCCAGCATCACCATAGCCAGGGCTGAAGAGATGCTGAACGGGGAGAAAAAGATGTTTCCCGTCTTGTTGTTATTGCTCAGCTGTTTGAGCAAAGCCAGAGAGAAGGAAGTGTTGTCCTTGGGCAGAGATGTTGCTGATGCCATTGTTTCTGGTACGAAGAAGTCGGGCAGTGAGTTGTTTAATGCACCAAGTAAGATTATTTAAATCTAACTGAGCTTAACTTTACCTAAAAACTACAAAAACTATGGTGGCTGTTATTCAGGGTTTTTGTTTAAAACGACATCCTTCATGTATGCAGATTTAGTCACAAAGCTCCCAGAGAACAGTGAGTTATAAACAGCTGAAAGGGTTAGCATTACTCTTTGAGCGCACATGGAAAAAAAATCTGCAACAGGATTACAGTTATACACACAAGATATAAACACGGTTTACGGGTAATTTATGAGTAGTCGCCACGTAGACGTGATTTGTAAAAACTGAATAAAGTTACATGACTTACTGACGCTCACTTCAGACGGTCAGGATTCTTTCTGGCTCAGTAAATGATTAGCAGGAAATCTAAATTCTTAGAGGCTGATGCGAGATGCTTTATTGAAGCAGAGTGACATACAACCAAAAGCGAGGGTGGCGAGAAACAGAACTAAGAACGACTCCGAACTGGGAAAACTAATAAAACTGAACCCTGAAACCTGAACCCGCAAGAAGACACGGAGGGAGTGACTCAGGGAGGTAACCGTAGGTAACACCGCATGGAGGAACAAAGACGGAGCAATAACGCACACAAGAGGACACATGCTATAAATACACACAGAGGGAAACGAGGAAACAGCACACAGGAGGGCGATACAGCCTAATCCGAGGAGACAGGGAGGACACAAGCTGAATACACTGACATCAGGAACGGACCTTCAAAGTAAAACAGGAAATACACAGAATACACAGACTGGACTCAGAGACACGATACAGACACAGAGGGAGCACAGAACCAAAACCCTAACAACTAAAAAGTCTAAACCCAAATACATACATAGAATAAACTGGAACATAAGATCATAATAATAAACACAAAACGCTGGGTCAAATGACAGTAACCAGGTTTTAAACAGTAACTAATTTAATTTGTTTACCTCAGTTCTTCATTATCTATTTAAAGGTCTTTGGGAAGCCTGTTAATTATTAGTCAGTTATTTATTTACGCAGGTGTAAATTATATCTTTGAGATTTAATAACCATTGTGTAAATCTGGAAGTAATATTATTTGTGAATGTTCCGTTTATCCTCCTCTTCATGTTCAACAGGTGAGCGTATTTTGTATAGAAGCATGCTGCTACAAGCCCGAAAAATGCTACAAGCCCATGCTGCTACAAGCCCGAAAAATGCTACAAGCCCATGCTGCTACAAGCCCGAAAAATGCT